ACAAAGATTAACAAAGTTAATTAACAAAGTTAGCCAAGATTTCATGGAAAAATATGCCAATGAAGGTGTATTATATGGTTAGGGAGGCTCAGTTTTCCCTTAGTGCTAAAAGGTCTCTCTCTCTCTCTCTCTCTCTCTCTCTCTCTCTCTCTCTCTCTCTCTCACACACACACACACACACACACACACACACACACACACTTCAAGTATATATAAATATACACTTGAAAATGATGAGTAAGCACATGAGAAATCACACAAAAGTCCTACACAAGCACAGCTTGACTGCCATTGTACAACAGAGATGGAAGGGGAGAAGGGAAGGCCGCAGCAAGGTCAATGAGGTTATTATAACACAGCAGAAGACGGACCTGGTGAAGGGAAAGGAAGAAGTAAGAAATCTCCCAGTTCTAAAAATGTTTAGAGCTAGTGGTGCTGATAAGTCAAACATAATAAGAGGAAAAGGAGGATGGCAAGGACATTCCAGCATCAGTTGCAAGAAAGATGAACTGGCCAGTAGCTGGGACACAGGAGGTGAGGGGTAGGATAGGTAGGAGGCAAATACAGTGGGATCGGGAGGGCTGTTGGGTACATGAGTTGGGAAGAAGCAGAATTCTAGGTTGCGATGACTCTGGGAGTCACACACATGGAATTGCAAGACTGGAAGACAGCCCAGGGAAAGAATACAAACAGAAAAAAAGAGATGTAAGAACCCGGCCTGAGGGGAGTTCAGTATTAAGATGTTCTGGAGGGAAGGACACATAGGGCAAAGGGAGGCCTGTAAAACAAGAGAGGAAAAAAGATAGCTGGAAGTCAGGAGAAGGGAGGACTTCAAGGGACGGTGTATTTTCAATTATTTTCCAATACAGTTGGTAAGATGAGGCCTGAGTAGCTTAGATGGCGAGAAGGGGTGGAGCTTATACGGGGTAAATTTAAGAAAAAGAAGAAATAGATACTTGAATATAAACATCACTTTCTAGAAAAGTCTAAAATAAGGAGGTGATAGTATAGGATCTGGCTCTACTGAGAATTTTGGCAAGTGAGGGCAGCGCGGTAGTTCCAGCCTGTAACTGGAGGCAGAACACCTGAGCACAGATTCCAGCTGGAAATGTGTGACCCTCAGGACGTATCAGCTGAGAGTGAGGTCAGCGATGACAGTTTGAAGTTGGAGGGGAGAAGAGCTAGAAGGCTAAAGGCAGGAGAGCTTGGGAGGGAATAGGAGTAAAGAACCAGAAGTTAGGGGTACTTGGGGAGACAGTGGAAGGAAAGAACGAGAAGGCAGGAGAACTTGGGGAACAGTGGGAGGGGACAGGATCTAGAAGGCAGGAGAGCTTGGGGGAACAGTGGGAGGGGAGAGGATCTAGAAGGCAGGAAAGCTTGGGGTAACAGTGG